CATCTTAATCCTGAATGCACTCGTTCTTACAAGATTCCCCACTCTACATCCCTCCCACCCCCCACACACGCATACGCTTCTTCTCCCCTACCTTCAAGCATCCGGGCAAGCCAGTAGAGGGAAGCATTTTCATCTGAGCCTCGCATAGATTTATGAAGTGCTGATATGCAATTGTAATGCTCTTCACCTATTTAGAGAGAGAAAAACTATGGCAAAAGGCTACATGCAAGAATTTAAAATTGATAAACAAACAAAAGTCCTACTTTGAATAGTATTTGTTAGACTACAACTATTAACATGGGAAGAGAGGCGGGGGGAGGAGTGTGGAAGTCACATTTCTAAGCCAAAATTGACCAACCTGGGAAACCTGGAGAGGTATGGAAAGAAACTTAGGCAAGACAGTGGATAGTATGTCAGATATGAGCTTGCCGTGTTATATGGCAAATAAATAAATAAATGAATAAATCAAACCAACTTATCTTTCCAGTGAATAAACAGATGTAGTATATATATCACATAGCCTGGAGGAAACAATTGGTATATGCAGCCTTGTACAACTGCATGAAATTCTATACCCAACAGCAGGCATTTGCATTGCCAGAAAGACTCAGACAAGCTGACAGGAGCTCAGAGGAATAAAACAATGTGATTAAGTAAGGGACTGGAAGGACTTATGATTGAAATTTGATATGTGTATACTGGCTGGCTAATGACTTCAATGGGGGCACACAGGAGGAACAAAAGAGTTTCTTGCAATGCAAATGAGACTATGGAAAAGAAAGGAAAAGAGATAGTTTATATATGCATTTTTCCCCCGTGACCCTGTGTTTCAGTTTCGATTGTTATATCTATATGTAAGCTTAGAAGAGGCTTTTGCTTAATTGTATTGGTTTTAACGTTCCTCATTATCTGCATTTCATCCCTCCCACCCAAATGCCTAGTATGCTTTGGCTTGCAGATGCCATAAATATGAAGTGCACTAGTAAGGCAACTGACTGCATACAGGGGTATCTGTTAAATTTCTTTTCCTCCTACAGCCAAAAAGATTTACAACTATATCAGAACATGTCATTAAAACTGCTAGGCATTGCATGATAAAAACTGTGCACATTAGCTTGAGAACTACAGCCCAAAACTATTACCACAAATGCCCAAAACTATTAACACTGAGGATTTGTACACGTTTGCGCCGCAGTGCGATGCTTTTAAAAGCACCCAGCACTCTGATGCATGCATCTGTATAAATGGCAAAATGCACATCAGCACTGAGAAAATGGCGGCAGCACACTTCTGAACTAAAACACATCCAAGCTGTAAAAAAGTTCAAAAGCACACCACCGCCATTTTCTCACTGCTGACGTGCATTTTGCCATTTATACAAATGCATACAATGCAGCACCAGGCGCGTCAGCTCGCGCACAGAACAGACTCGATTAATCAAGTCTGCTCTGATGCACAGGATCTCTGGCGCTTTAGAACAGACAAATGTATGCGTATAAATGCCCACTTAGCTGATCTGATAAATGCCGACTCATTGTCTCTTAGGGACTTTGATGGCAACAAGATTGGGAGCCAATTCTTTTGTTGTTATAATTATCATATATTTTTATTCTTTCCAGATTTTAGGCTCACAAGTGTGGGTCTTTTGAAACATACAAGAATTCAGACATCTATTTTTAACAGTAGTCCACACAAAGAACCCACTGATATACAGTCATTATCATGCCAGCATAAACAGCGTGTCTGTGCCCTGCTATAGCACTCAAGCTTTCAACTTGAGCTGGTATGTAGAAACTTAAGCAGCTGAACCTACAACATGCTTTTGGAAGAGACACCTCATGGTCTCTTAAAAGGAAGGAAGAAGGCCTTTAAATACCTAAAAACTTTTTTTTATTAAAAAAAAAAGTCATTACCCATTGGCTGGGTAATGACTTCAATGGGGGCACACTTGCCCTTTTTTCCCCGCTGGTCAAGTGCTTTCATGTGCCATTTAGGCATTTAAATCCTAAAACTATACTATTATGATAATGTACAGTAGTATTAGTCTACTGCACATTAACCATCATAAGAAACTGATGGGATTGGGGTAGCCTACTGCATATTTATTTAATAATTCCTTTTGCAAGTACTAAATGTAATGCTCAGTAGACACTGCACATTAATGAATGTGTAGTCATACCCAGAAACACTTAAAAATACATACCAGAGCAGGAGACTGTACTTTAAAATATGAAGGAAATTATATAATTATGCGCGTACACACACACACACACACACACACACACACACACACACTTCTCCATTTCCTTCCCCATAAAGTTACTTTTGTCATTCAGTATCCCA